AAATGCATCTTTGTAAAGTGGAGCAACGTTGCCATTTTGTGTGTTAGCCCATCCTCCTCTCTTCTTTTTTTTTGTTTGAATTAATACTATAGGAATGGAAACTTGGTCTCTGGCACACTGACTCGATGCTTTCAAAATGGTTAAAATTCTCTTGCTTGTTTTTCATTGTAAAAGAGAGATTATTTTAAGCTTTTACCTAAATAAACATTTTTCAGTTCAAAGGTATCCTTGGCACGATTTTTTCATATTCATTCTTCTAATCCAATGAATTTAGATAAGTTTGGACAGAAAATTTCATTCCAATAATGTATTCATTCTCTTTTAAGAAAATAAACAGTTTTTTTTTGTTTGTTTGGAGGAACTTTTTTTCTAAACAAGAACAAAATTAAAAAAATATAAGCAACAATGGAAAAAAATAAAGAAATATAGAAAGTAAAGTAAAATAAAATAAAAAAAAACAAACAAAATAAAAAATATATAGTTATATATAAAAAAATATAAAAAATAAAGAAAATGAAAAATGAGCAAAATAAAAAAATATAAAAAAACATGAACAAAAATAAAAATAATCAAATAAATAATAGGTATCAATAAAAAGTAGTTATAAATAAATGAAATTTATAAAATTCATTACGAAAATTAATTTCGAAAAAAATTAAATAAACAGTAAATGTTGAGAACAATTAATGCAAAAAGGGAAAATAAAAACAAAAAAAAATTCTCATGTAAAACGAGAATGACATTGAATGTCATTTTAATGGATTCACTAAAAGCCGCAATTCATTTTTCATTTGAAATTTTATCATTTTCAAGTGCAATTGAAATTGATGAATAAAATTTACCTGAAAAAGAATATCAAAATTAATTTGTAATTGATAAAAGATCGATATTTTTTCATTGAAATTTTGGCGAATATGATTAAACTACAATAAAAAAGATAAAAATTTTTTTTTTGTATTCCTCACTTAACAATCGTACAGTTTTGAAATTTTTTTTAACGAAAAAATAAAATAAACAAAAATAAAATTTTTGAAAAAGTATGGGAAGAATTGAAATATTTTTCTTGAGTTCATAAAAAGAAGATTTAATAAAAGTCTTGAGATTATTATGACATGTTTATTTGTTGTCGAGCATCACTATCGTCGCATGCACAATAGATGCCTTGAGGGTCAGGTTATACGATGATAACTTTGATACAACTAAAGTACTTTGCAAGTATTCTCGGCATTTCGCATTCCAACTGTTACTGCGGCTTGAATTTCAAATGACTTTACGCAGCACTAAACATCAGAACTATAATTTTCATGGTGTTAAAATTTTAATTTCGATGAAAATCCCAAAAAAAGTAGATATAGAAAAAGAGAAAGACAACAATTTCAACCGAATTTTTTTTTATATCTCTCCCTGTTGATCGGTGCCAACTTTAATTCGAATACATATTTGAATTTAAAGAAGCTGACCTCATATTTTAATATGAGGTAAACTTTTTTAATTATTTCGGATAAGAAAGTGATTAAGAGGGATTGTGAGAAAAAAAATTTCTTTTCGTTTCAGTTTGAAATTTACTTTTCCTAGTACTTTGCGACTTTAGAAGAGTCGCTTAAAGAAAGTCTGACTAAATGTCTGACTGAAAATGGTTGTTTACTACTGTGGGATTTATAATTACAAGAGAATTTGCATAATTTTTTGGGAAATTCACTTTCTGTGTCTGACTAAAAATTCGATTTACTACTGAGAAAAAAAATTATTAAGATAAAAAAAAAAATTTTCTTTATTATTAAAAATTACTTTTAATTAAGACAAAATGTAACAAGAATATTCAGTCTTTTGTCTGGCTTGAAATTACTTTTACCACTGAGATAAAATAATTACGATAATACTAGATTTTTTGCACGATTTAAAAATAATTTACTCCTAAAGAAAGAAAAACGAGCCTCTAGTTTAAAAATTATCTTTTTAATTTGGTAAAAAATTAGTGGATTATGTTTGACAATATCTAATTTTTACTACTTGTTAAAAAATTATATTTAATTAATTTTTAATTTTTAATTTTTAATTTTCAATTTTCAATTTTCAATTTTTAATTTTTAATTAATAAAAAATAATTATAGTGCTATAATTATTTTTTATTAATTAAAAATTAAAACTTTAGTCAGACATTCTGTAATTTCATTATTATAATAATAGAATTACAGAATGTCTGACTAATGTTGGATTTAACTACTTACGGTAGGGGAGTGGCAATAATATTAACTAATATTATGTCTGACTGAAATTTTCTTTTACTATTGACATAAAAAATCCATTTCTAAAAATTAACGCTATAATGTTTTTCATATTCAAATTATTATGTAAAATTTTAACTGAAATTCATTTTAAAATCAATTTTCATTTGAAAAATCTACAAGAATTTAATTATTTAAATGCAAAAGTAAATAATTTATGGAATAATTTAATGTTTCTCGAAATTCAATTCTCATATAGAATTTTAGTAACAAATTTTTAAATAATTGAATTCTTTTGTCGAATTTTATTAAAACTTGCATGAAAATAATTACTTTTTTCAAGGAATTCAATTATAATTGTATGAAAAATAACTAAAACGCTGCGATGAGTTTTATTATTAGTAAAAATAATTGAATCCTTAAGAAGAATTTTATTTCTCTTGAAAATAATTGAATTTCTGCAATAATTTCTAACTTCTCTAAAATTAAATTTTTTTCTAGTGTTTTTAACTAGAATTCTTCAGTAAATCCATTATTTTTAATAATTTTTAAAAAAGTTCTTTGAGAATTTTCAAATTCATTCGTTTAAAATTCAATTTTACAAAATTTCAATCATTCGGAAATTCTGCAATTAAATATATATTAAAAACTAAAAACTTGAAATAATTTCAATAAAAATTCTATTAAACTTTTGAAAAGAATTAATTCTACAGAATTGTTTGTCAAAAAATATGAAAAATTAAGAATTTCAATGATTTTAATTTGAAACTTTTTCAAAATTTAATTATATCTAAAAATCCACGTTATAATGATTTTTATATTTAATTATACTCTAAAATTTTAACTAAAATTCATTTTTAAAACCATTTTTATTAGTAAATTCTACGAGAACTCAATTATTTAAATACAAATAAAATGCAAATAAATAATTTATTAATTTCATGTTTCTTGAAATTAAATTCTCATAAAAAATGTTATCAACAAATTTTTTAAATCATTAAATTCTTTGGACGAATTTTAATAGAATTTTTAAGAATAATTACATTTCTCGAGGAATTCGATTAAAATTGCATTAAAAATAATTGAAATTCTGCAATGAGTTTTATTATTTATGAAAATAATTGAATTCCTAAAAGAATTTTATTATTTATAAAAATAATTGAATCTCTGTAAAAATGTTATTATTTATGAAAATAATTGAATTATTGCGAAGAAATTTGAAAAAAATTGGAAATAATTGAATTCCTGTAAAAAATTTTATTATTTATGAAAATAATTGAATGTTTGCGTAGAATTTTATACAAATTTTTTTTAATAATGGAATTCTTTTGGAAAATTTTATTGAAATAGTAGGTATTGAAAATCATTGAATTTTAGATAACTTTTGAAAATAATTGAAATTTTGACAAGAATTTGATTAAAATTTTGTAAAATAATTGAATATCAGAGAAGAATTTTATTATTTATAAAAAGAATTGAAATTTTGACGAGAATTTTTTTAAATTTTTGAACACAATTTTAATCCTTTCTGATGTTAATTTAATTCTAGAGGGATTAAACTGTTGCAGATGTACTAACTAACTTTTAATCCTTAAAAAATCTTATATCTAATTAAAAATACATTTAAGCTAATTTAAATCTTTATTTTATTTTGAATTTTAAAATTTAAATAACTAATTTACAGAAAATCGATAAGTTAAGTCTGACAAACACTCATTTTCCCTACTTAAAGATAAAGTAAAAAGTTTTCGCACATCCCTTAAGGGTTTGGATTTATAACTCCCTGTCTGACTTAAAGTACTTTCTACCACTGATTTTATCATTTTTCACCATTTTTTCCTTGAAAAAAGCATAATACCTAAAGTTGTCTGACTAGAACCGTACATTACTACTTACACTAGCCTTACAAAGAAATTAAAACCTTTTTGTCTGACTATATTCGATATTTACTACTTTTTTCTAAAAGTGTAAAGAAGAGATGACACGACTGTTAAAAAAAATAATACAAAAAAGGAAAAAATTTCTTTTGTAGTAAATTTTTTTTCTTTCTTTATTCTGAACTTTGAAAAAATGATGATGTTTGCCAAAGAATATATGCACACATGTGTCTGAACTAATTTACAAGTCTTCAATGATAGAATAATGTCGTGACCTTATTTCAAGTTTCCCTTGGGTCTGACAGATATTCAATAGATTTTTCACACAGAAGTGTGAAATTTTTCTTTTCACAAAATTTGACCGCATCAAACAAGGAACTGTTTGTTCTCTCGTTCATTTCTTATTTACATTTCTAGTCTCTGTTATTTATTCCTTTGATGTTTACAATTTTCCCCCTTCTCTTTTTTTATACACTACATTTCACCTTTTATTTCATGACACAAATATTTATATACAAATAGTATATTTTGTACAAAAATATTTGACTTTTTGCGGTTTGCATGAAATTTTCCCCAACGAAATATTACAATTGTTTTAATTCGAAATTTAATAAATGGTATTACTTTTTTTTGAAGCTAGAAAAACGGGAAAAAAAGAAAAAAATAATACTAAAAAGTGAATACTTTTAATATTTTCTGTGTTAAAGTATTATTATAGTAATTTTAGTAAAAATTAACTTCTATTAAGTCAAACAAAACTTCAAGTAATTTGGTCTGACTGAAATTGACATTTACTACTTAGAAAATAGAATTTTATGTTTAAATTTTAATACCGAAAAATGAATGTCTGTATTAATGAAATTAATTTCGTTTGATAAAACTTTTTTTTTGTTTTCAGATTGACAGTTCAACAATAGACGATAAACAAAATGGACGAAGGGGAGAAATAAAGAATCGAGGAATTAAACCGTAAAGAAAAATTTTTTAAAAAAATAAAAACAAAAAAAAATACTGCAAGCAAACTAAAGGCGACGAAAAAAACAAAATGAAGCGTGTTCGTCGAAAAAGAAGTGTGAAAGAGAGAGAGAAGGAAAAAAAAGTGATGAGAGTTAAATTTAACAAATTGGAAATCTAATTGAAATTAAGTGGGGCAAAAGGGGAAATTCGAATTCACCATTTTAGAGAGCGAGAGAGAGAGAAAAGAGAGAAAGGGAGAAATGGTGTCGAAAGGTATATTGCTCGTGGTAATGATTCATTTGTTCCACGGTTCGGTTCATGTGCATGGCAGTTACTTTGGATCAACGACAGTGACGAGGAGCGGAAGTGGCGTCAAGATTGGCAGCACTGAACGTGGCGCCGTTTCCAGGGGACTGGGCATTGGCTCAGGAAGAGGAAATTCCGGAATACGTATTGGCGAGGGTCGAATACACAACTCAACAAGACAGAAACCAATACCAACAACATCAACTACAACAACCGCTCAACCTTTTTACACTCAACCATCAGAAACCATCAGTCCTGGTGACAGCACTAATATTACTTTCCTGAAGGTGAGATTCTTTTTTCTTTCGTTTTACAAAAAAAAAAAAATTATATTATTTTTTTTTCTCTGCATTAAAACTATTAAATAATCACAGTTCTTTTAAGGATATCAAATTGAGCCAAAAAACAAATCAAAAACATTGTTTCGCAAAATTTTTGATTCCTTTTTGTCTCAATTTGCCATTCATAGAAAAACTGCGATGAGAGGCTAAAATAATATAATAATATAAATAAATGAATAATATAAATCATTTAGCAATTTAAAATGATAATATATATTTTAATATCTATATTAAAAAATTATAAATAATAAAAATAAAATCTATATAAAATAATTATATATTATTAAGAATAGTAGCAACAATTCGCGCGCAGCTGACTTCTCACTCACTTTTTTCAAATAGAATTATTAATTTTAAAAATAATAGAACGTAAACATTTTTACTTCAAATTTTTTTTATAAAAATAAAATATTTGAAAATAAATAAAATATATAATAAATAAAATAAAATATGTGAATTGGAATATATAGATTTAATATTATAGATATAATAATTATATATTCTAACATAGAGAATTCAGAGAAAAGTAAGGAATTTTTATTAAAAGTACTGACAAAATTAAATTATTAGAATTCATGAGAAAATTCTGAATTTTTGTGTCTTCCTTGCTTGACTCATAAACTATAAAATTATCACGAATTCTAATACAAAAACCTTCAATTCCTTCAATTTCTTCAATTTCTGACAAAAATTTCTTTCTAAATAACTTAAATCTTGAACAACTATCATAAAATAAATAAATTATTTAATGAATAATTTTACTTAAATATTTCAAAATTAATTCAATTTTAAAAGAGTTGCGTTTATAATTTTCATAAATAACAGTTTCAATTTGAAATTTTATGAAATTTCAATGTTTAATGAAATAAATTAGACATTTTAATGAACTGAGATTTTTGAAAAATTTTGATAATTCAAAATCTTCTAAAATTTGTTAAATTTGTCAATATATTTTTCATTAATTATTAGAAATAATGGATTTATAGAAGAATTTCAGTTAAAAACTCAAAAAAAAATTGAATTTTAAAAAAGTTACAATTGATTTCAGAAATTTAATTATTTTCAAAAGTAATAAAATTCTTATCACAATATTCAATTATTTTCAAAACTTACAAAAATTTTTTTTTGAAAAAATACCAATTATTATCTTTATAAATAAAAAAAATTCTTCTTTAAAATTCAATTATTTTCAAAAGTTGTTAATAAATTTGGAAAAATTTCAATTATTTGCAAAAACTTTTCTCATTTAAATGATTTTCAATATCTACTACTTTAATAAAATTACTCAAAAGAATTCAATTGTTTCAAAACAATTTTTAAAAAATTGTACGCAAACATTTATTTATTTTTATAAAGAATAAAAATTCCACAGGAATTTAAATATTTACAAATTTTTTATAAGTTTCTTCTGAAAAATTCAATTATTTTCAGAAATAATAAAACTCATCGCAGAATTTCAATTATTTTTAATACAATTTTAATCAAATTCCTCGAAAAATGTAAGTATTCTAAATAATTTCATTAATATTCGTCAAAAAAATTAAATTATTTAGGCACAAATTTGTTAATAAAATTCTTTATAAGAATTAAATTTTAAGACACATTCAATTAAATAAATATTAATAAATATTCAATAAATAATTTACTTTTGTATTTAAATAATAGAATTCTCGTAGAATTTTTTAAGAAAAATTTAATTTGAAAATGAATTTTAGTTTAATTTTAGATAATAGTAGAATATGAAAATAATTTTTAAGAAGTTACAGTTATCTTTATGATTTACAATAATATTTTTAAAGTTTATTAATTTCAAAAACATTTGAATTTGAATTGTTTTGAAAATCTTAATTCCTATGGAAAAATAATAATTAAATATTTGAATTATTTAAAAAAGAAACTATTCTTTTCGAATAATTTGACAATTAAAGATATTCGTAAATACATGTAACAGAACAATTTTTGTTAATAAATTTTTTTTCCTTATTTTCTAAAAATTAAAAATATTTTATTGTTTTATTTTCAATTAAATTTTTAAATTCCCAAATATAATTTATAAACATTTTTTTACTTCATTTTTAAAAAATTTTAAATTTTATTAAAACAATTGAAATTAAGAAATAGAATTGATGCAAATTATGAAAATTGAGAATTTTCTAAATATTAAGAAACGTGAAATTTGTTATAGAAAAAAGCATATAACAAACAAAATGAGTATATTTTTTATTTGTTATAAACTATTGTTTACTACTTAAAAAAAATTATTGAGAATTGGAGTGTAAGGAAACCTGCAGGTTTAACTAAAACTGACTTCTACTACTTACCATAAATTTACAATGTATTGAAATGTTTTTTCTGATATTGACTTTTACTACTATTAAAAATAGCTTATACACCTGAGACAAAATTTATTTCAAAATGTCTGACAATAACTGACTTTTACTACTTACAATAATTACAAACTTCAATGACGTTTTTCTAACGAAATTTCTGACTTTTATTTCAGTAGCATAGGAATTTTTAAACTATTGTTTACTTACTACTTTTAAAAATATTAACCAGAATTTTCAGAAAATTTATGTTCAATAATTACTTTCGCCCTCTAATTGAAATATAGTTTTTGTTGCTGTAAAATTTTTTACGCAAAAAATACAATAAAGATTTGAAATTTTGTCTGATTGAAAATGATTATTATAAATAAAATAATTTGACAATGTGAATAATTTAGCAATACGGAAATTTAGAAACTTCTATCATTATTTGCAGAAAAATTATATTTAAAATTTATATTTACTGTCTGACTAAAAATGATTTTACTACTTAGAAAAAATATCAAGAGAAAATAAAGAAGATTTTAAAATATTTTGTCTGACTAAAAACAACTTTTACTACTAAAACAGAAAAATAAGAAAACAATTATATTTCTTCATACTTAAAATTCACTATTTCCATTATTTTGTCTGACCAAGAACGACATTTACTACTGAGGTAAAAATAAAAAGGAAATTCAATCTTTTGTCTAACTAAAAAATTACTTTTACTCCTGAGACCAAAATTCAATGATAATAACAAAAGAAAATAATAATAATAATAAAGAAAATACTGATAAAAGAAAGAAGACCTCAATTTTTATTCGAATTAAAATTAAAAAAAGGATTAATAAAAATTTTCAAAACAATACTATTTTCTTTTAATACCAGCCAGTATTTTTTTTTCTCCATTTTCCAATGAGATGAAAAGGAAAGGAAAAATGAGGATTTTGTGGTAAATCGAATATATACTGACCCAATAGAGATACTTATCTTTGAAATGCTTGTATATAGATACTTCTCAATGGAAACGATTCTTTGGGAATGGAATAACTTTTGATGCGAGTATACTCACTGTGAAGATACGATTATACATTGGGGGCTTGGGTATATTTTTCCTCGAGTTGCAATAAAATCGGTTTTTGATATTTATCGAGGTAGAGAGGGTAATATTTTCTTAGACTCTATCAAATTTGATCAGATTTCATTCAAGTCTTTAGTTGATGGCGTAAAAAAAATGGAAGAAAAAAAGTTTCTTTTCTTTTTTCAATTTTATTTTCCCTCCAAGTAAAGTGAAAAGAGAAAATTTATCATTTTTTTGTGAAATGAGAATTTTTTGTCTGACTAAACACGTTATTTACTACTTCGAGAAAATGTTGGCAAAATTTTTGGATAACTTTCTTTACTGGGGGGAATTTCTAGTGAAAAATTGCCAAAATATTTAAAGTTTACAAAGTTTTCTTTGTCTGACTATTTTTTTTTCTCTGACTCACATTGACTTTTACTACTTGTAGTAAAATTATTAATTTTGAAAATCTTCTGCTTGATTTTAAATGGTTTTTTATTATGTAAAAATTCTGTATAAAATTAAATTTGAATCAATTTTTCCTAATTAGAAAAAGAAAATTTTTAATGTCTGACTATAATTGGTCTTTACTACTTAGAGCAAAATTAAAAATTTTGACACTTTCGCCTGACTATAATTAAAGTGTTATTTTTACCATTTATCTTGTGCTTTTCGATACAAAATTCAAACTCGAAAAAATACTTTTTGTTACAATATTTTTTTCCAACAAATTTTGAAATAAAAAAATTTAGATTCGCAGTAGTGTAAAACTCGTCAAGTCAGACAAAAATTGCCGTACAAGCAAAAAAAAGTGCTAGAGTAAGCAAAGCACGTTCTAAGTAGAGTATAAAAATCGTTGATTCGGACATGATTCTGATTTTAAGTAGAAAAAAGTTGCATTAGTCAGACAAATTTCTACTTTCCAGTGAAACGATTGTCGTTTAGTCAGATATAGTTTTTTCGCGAAGGGGTAGAAAATTTAGAGTGAACAGAACAGAAAGGAGTGGAAAAAAGAGAAAGAGGAGAAAAAGGAGAACAGACGAAAAAAGGGAAAAAATAGAAAGAGGAGAACGAACGAAAAAAAAAATACAAAACGAAAAAAAGAGAGGCGAAAAAAGAATAAAATAGAAAAACGAAAAAAAATTGAAAAAAGGAAAAAGAAGAAAAAAAGAGAAAAAGAAAAAAAATTGAAAGAAGGAAAAATGGGAGAAAATTGAGAGAAACTTGAAAGTAAAATTTGGTTACGAAATTCGTCTTTCAAGTGAAGTAAAAATCGTTTAGTCAGACAAATCGAATTTCTAAATCTTTGAAATTTTTTCCCATTGTCAATATTTTTATTTCTACTAAAAAAAAATTTTTTCACTGATAGTAAGCAATATATATTATACGATCGTATGTAAACTTGCCAAAATCCATATGTACACAAATTTACTGTATGTGTACATTTCGAGTTGACAAATCAGATGAAATTTGCCGATTCAGTTTTAGATAGCAATTAGCAACAATACCACTTGTTCAGCTTCATGTTTATCATTGCTGACATTTCAGAAATTTCGTTCACAATAATTAACAAT